AGAGTTAATTCTTTTCCAGGGCTGCCATGTCCCACCAATCCTCCAACAATCTTCTAATTTCTCTCTTTCTCATATAAACCATCTAGAGCTAGAGTTTCTTCCAAGTTAGTAGGAAGATAGACAAGGATAGAAAGACAGACAGGCAGAGAGAGAGAGAGAGCGAGAGAGGGAAAGGGCCAGACACCCTTTAAAAAAAATTAAATCAAGAGTTAATTCTTTTCCAGGGCTGCCATGTCCCACCAATCCTCCAACAATCTTCTAATTTCTCTTTCTCATGCAAACCATCTAGAGCTAGAGTTTCTTCCAAGTTAGTAGGAAGATAGACAAGGATAGAAAGACAGACAGGCAGAGAGAGAGAGAGGGAGAGAGGGAAAAGAATTTAATCAGAAGTTAATTCTTGGTTTGGGCTGCTGGCACAGCTGGCAGAATCAACTCCCAAGTTGATCCTTTGAGGCTGGCTCATTGAATGGGGGCTGTTGCTGAAGAATTAACTTTCGAGTTAATCTTATTCAACTCTTGTATTCAGTCTCTTCCCGATGGCCTCCAACCTAATGGCGATGGCCTCTACCTAAGGGCTGGACCTGGTGCGACAAAGCAACTTTGCACAGGTGCAGTTCGTGGAGATTTCTGCGCACATGACAATTCTGCGAATCGCTCAGAGTAGCAGACCATTGCCAAAACCATCTCAGTGACCCTGCCCAGTGCGCATTTGCACAACGCTGGAGGCAGAACATGCTGCGCAGCTACGCTGCTGGACAGCACGGCACTCACCGTTTTCGCATGCTCTTGAAGCAAGTTTGGTGCAAGTTAGGCATCTTCTGCTAGTTGGCAACCAGGGAGCCAAAAGCTAAGATTTACTTGCTTGTGAAATTCTCCCGTTTGACTGTTTGACCGTGGCTGTAAACGGTTTAGCTCACTTCAGGTGGGCAAAAACAAGCTTGCAGATCACTTGCTATGTTTGTTGCGCTGCGAACGCGAGTATGCCAAGGGCTTAGCAGTCCCAAAAACAATGTCAATCTAATTCAATCTGTATATATATAATATATGTTTAATATGTCCATTCGCTGGCCCACATATTCAGGTTCAGCTTCATCGTGACACGACTGTCCAAAGCCTGACTGTAACCCCTACACTTGAGGCGAAAGACTGATGTGATGAATGAAGTGCGTTCTGACGATCCGAATTGTCGAAAGCAATGAGTGACAATGCCTTGCAGATCCTTGCAGTGTTCCCAGTTTGGAGGCTGGCATTGTTCATTGGAAAGATTCAGGGCTCCTCCGCGCAGCGAAAGCAGGGAGATGCCTTGTGGCGAATCTCTCAGAGACTTGACATGTGTTCGCGTCGCACGTTAGCTTGGAATTTGCCGTTCCTAGCCAATATTAGGTGGACGAGACGGACAAAGCTCCTTTGGAGGCCTGGCTTCACCATGCTTGAGAGAAACTCATGGAATGCAAGTGCAGGTTGTGTGCATCCTCAAGGCAGACCGGCACTGTCTGTTCTGGCAAAGACATGAAAGGACGTCTTTTCTTCCTTCGCTTCCGGACGCAAAAAGGCTCCAGCTTCCTTGAAGAACCCAGGCTTTGGGATTGAGCATTAAGCTACAGCGTCTCGTCCAGGCTTTGGCAGAAGACGGTGAGCTCGGAACTCAACTGTAACTAGTGTCTAGGTGACTGAAGCAGTGTCTCAAGAGTCTCAAGCTGACTGGATCATTGGGCAAGATTTGCTGCCCCGCAGAGGCTAAGACTTAGCTAAGAATCACGGTTGGCTTTGGCTAGTGCAACAAGTTTTTGGCACTGGCTCATTTCGTAGAGGCATTCCAGTCTCGCGTTTCAAGTTTTGCAGCAAATGTCATGAACAGTGATCATAAGCTTTGGACTGGTTTCTTCTCACTTCCATTTCTGAGCCATGGACGACGTCTTCTTTGATTCTGGCGATGAACAAAATGAACACTTGTACAATACAGATCATGAGTCTGATGGTGAACTGGATTCTTTCAATGGGTTGCTTCGAGTTCCAGGTCAAAAAGTTCGTCCGCTGTCACAGCGTGTGGAAAAGTTGGTGTTGGATTTTCGAGAGAAGCAAGAGATCTTCAAGCGCCGGCGCCAAGACCTCGCACAAAGTGTTTCACGTGGAATTCGAAAAGAATTCCTGCAGCAGCAAGAACGTATTGTCTTACGCAGCAAACAAATGGCGAAGAAGTTACAAAGCGGACGCTCCCGAGCCTGGCGGCACAAGTGGGTGTTTGCATTGGTGGAAGCAGACTTTGTTGTTACTGCATTTTGGTTGGGCGCATCTCCGCAGACTTTCCATCTCTACTATACAGCACAGATGGCTGTGGTGATGTGTGGCAAGGTCTTTGACTACAGGTTCACTGATCAGCACTACTTTCTCTTGGACTTTTGTTTCTTTGCAAATGCGTGTACATTGGTGTGGTTGTGGATCTGTCCTACCTCTGGCTACTTGTTCAATGCAGTGGAATCCTTCTGCGGGGTGTTGGCGTTATCCGTTCCACTCTTCCGAAATTCCTGTGTGCCCCATGACTTTGCGCGTATCTCAAATGCCTATGTTCACTATCCACAGGTTCTTTTGGTTCTAAGCATGATTTGGAGTTCTGATGGAGAAAAGCGCCAAGGTATTGAAGCTGGTATGGCAGAATCCTGGTCTGCCAGGCTATTTCAAGCATGGTCTGTGTACATGTCGTGGGCTGTCCTTTACGCTTCAGTGATCTTCGTTCTAGCAAAGAAGCGAATCGAGCGAAAGCGGAGGGACACATTGTACGGTTACTTTGCTCATACACTCGGCTTCAAGGACAAGTTGCCAACCTGGTTAAGAGATTATTCTGGAATCGTTTTTATGCTGGGTCACCAGACGCTCTTTATGTCCGGAATCGGATACATTTTCTTGCCCTTCTCGGTTCAGGTCGTTGCCATTCTTTTGGCCATCACCATTTTTTTTCACAATGGAGGACGATTCTACGTAGATCACTTCTGGAAAGCGCATGAGCGCAATACGGTTCTTTACTTGGATGCAGCCACTAGTATGATGACCAAAGCATCCAAAGAAGGCAGTCACAGCAGCCTGGAGAGCAAATGCACAGATGACTCCCCAGGATGAGGTCGCTAATGGTTGAAGGCAAGAGTCCTTGCGCAATCTTGCGCAAGCGCAAACCATGCTCTACTACAAGCTTCGACAACTTGTTTCACAGTGTAGATCGATTATGCCAAAGGCTTGTTGGTTTCACAGATTCACAGATGCTTTGGTTGCTTGAACCGAAGCCGAGCGGCCTATAAATGGTTTGGTTTTTGCTGGTAAAATGAAAGACATGATACATGCAATGAAATGCCACCAACCTTGGTTGGCACCACAGCATTGGGCGATGAAGCAGGGTGGCACTAAGCAGCAGTATCTGTACCGTATATACAGTATCTCTCTCTCTCTCTCTCTTTCTATCTTTCTCTCTTTCATTGTTTGATCATCTCATTTGGACTCGGCTTGATGCACTCGCCCTTCACACCCAGCTCTTCTGACGTCATTAAACCTCGTTATAGTGTGTCACAGTTTCAAGATAGTTTAAGCACCTTCCAGCTTCCGTGTCATTTTCCCACATCACCTTCTCACAGAAACTCTCCCATGCTCGCATCCTGTTTTTCCTTATGTTATCCCACATTGTGTCATGACATTCATTCTCATCTTGAAACTTGAAATGTTATGTCATCGCATGTTGTTTCGTCGCAGCTGGTCTCACCTGACCTTATCAATGTCAGCTCACGTCCACACACCATGCAATCCAACCTTTTGGCTTCAATCATCGTCAACCGGATTTCCCACATGCTCTATCGAACCGAAAGCTGCTCCGCACTGATGCAGCACAAAGGGTTCCGATGTGAAAGCCGTAGAGCAGTGAGCAGACAATCAAAGACACCACATGCAAGTCCCATTATTTTGCGCGGCAAACAAGTGGTTAGAAAGCTCAAGAAAGACTGACACTCTTTCAAACCGGCATGTGGAGTCGGCTGCACAGCATGGCACAAAGATTTGGGCTCGATGGGCGACGGTGTGAAAGTGTCGTTGCATTTGTCATGCAACCTCCAGTGCTGGTGGTGGGTGCCATTTTTGTGTTTGATCGATTCCAACGATTCTAACTCATGTCATTCTTGATTTGCAACCTGCTTGCTGTTCCCATGCTCTTATATAAGTGTCACTTCAGGCTGTCCCTTCCAGACGGTCGGACCCTACTCCGATGGGCCCCCAGCAAGGCCAAGAGGGAAAGGCCTTGGGATTGGTTAATTTTTGCTCAAGGTCACAATGATCTGAGACTTAACCAGAAATCAGCCACAGAGTACTGTGCTCAGAAGGTCTAACCCAATGCAATATGCGTGACCAATCATTCTGAACGAGGTTTGTTCCCATAGCCGAAGGCTTCCGGATGATTGTGCTAGCGAACAGGCGTTTCACCACCTATGTTCATTATGTTCATGCATGAGAATAAGCGCAAGATCACCACCAGTTGACAGGCCAGGTCATCCTTTTCTCGGGAATGATTTTTACCGAGTATGCGGAGATGTTCTCGGTTTTGGCCTTACTGCCTTGGTAAAGCTTGGCAAAACGAGTGCACCTTGGAAGAATCATTGTTATGCAGAGAAGATCATGCAAAGTCCGGAAAAGAAATCACGTGTCAAGACTGATTGCCCTTGCCTAATTTTGTTCCGTTGCCTGAGACTACCATGCCGTCGAGTACCTTGACGTTACTAGCGAGCTCCAGCTCTTGCGAAGCATTGCTCCATCAATATCAGAGGCGTTTGACCGCTATTTCTTGATTGTACAAATAGGTACAAATCAATGTCCATATCAATGCGTGGAATCGTGACTGTTTGGAGTGCACATTGCAGCGTTCCCAGGCGACGTTAGAAACCTTGTCCAAACTGTTTCGGGAACTCCGACGGTTAACTGACGGAGGTGAGATCACGTACCCGTGCGCCAGACTGGCTAAACGTGGCAAGCACATCCTATCAAACTGAAGACACTGGGGATTCGATCACACTGTTGCCCAATAGAACTCGACACAAATGTGACATTGCAACGTGTGATTCATTTTTGAAAACCACTCAGTTTCGTGCGTGTCAGTAGAAACATGATCCGCCCTAGAAATCCGCCCGCACCAAAGGTGCTGGAGTGTGGTAACCTCATGCCGCGACCTCCGGGTCCGTAGCAACGTACTAGCTGGATTTTTCAGCTTTGCAATTTGCAAGGTTCAGTTTTGAGATATTTCACTTGTTCACTTGTTCAATACGAAGAAAATTGACGTTGGACATTTTGGAGCCACATCTTCGGAACCTGGGCGTTGGACATTTTGGAGCCACATCTTCGGAACCTGGGCTGCCTGGGCTCATTGTGAGGTCAACTTGACCCAAGTTCACCCCAACTTTGGCCAAGTTGATGGACCCAACAAAAGGAACATAGGAACATTGTCCAGAGTGGCTCAACTGTGCGCCAGCTTGATTTGTGGAGACCGCTGGGTGCAAAAAATGCGCAAAAGTTGAGCCGAATTTCAAGTCAAGCTTGGCCAGTTCCCCGTCTTGCTGAGTCTATGCCATCACCTCGAGCCCAAGTTGAGCCTAAACAGACCCAAGTTGCATCATGTCGGCCCAACCTCAGCCCAAGTGAGTGCTCACTGGGCAAAGTCCAACCGAAGTTGAAGTCAAGCTGGGGCAAAGTAACCCAAAGCTGCAGCTTTCTTACGGACATGTAACCCGCAAAGGTCCAGGGTCAACATGGGGCACTTGCAGCTCGTTCTGGTCCAACCTGGTTTCACAACTGGTTTCGGAGTGGTTCCCGACTCGTGTCCGAGTGGTGCTGGATTGGTGCCGGGCTGGTGCCCCAAATGCCGGGCGTTCACTCCAAATAAAACCAAGCATAGTCAAAAGTGGGCACCAGATCCGCACAAACTAATTCGGTCTCCAGCCACGTCTGCAACTTTTGCCAAAGATTGACACCAGGTTTGCACCAGCAATTGAAAAATCCAGCACCAGCTTTTGCACCAACATTCCTGTCTTTTTTTGAGTCTCGGCGCAATCCAAGCACCAGGTCGAAGACCAAAAATGGCAAAGGTGAGCACGTTTGCACCATCGCGCACGGAATCTGACACCACGTGTTGCACCGGGACTCGTTTGCGTCTTAAGTTTTAAGCGGAGTACGGCATAGACAACATAGACCCAACAAAGGGGACATGGACAGAAACAAGCATTTGCGGCCCGTGAAACGATTGGCCCCAATGCCCTCGCGTCAACAGGCTCAAGTTCCTGACTGCTGTACACAACCGATGCTGCGGCTGCTTTGATTTGCTGCAGCTACCTTAACGAAAGAATGTTACGGCAAGATGCTGGAAAGAGTCCCAACTCTGTGCATCAGCGGCTGCGTGAGCTCGCCTTCTCCCTAACCTGCTGCGGCGGGTGCGGTGTTCGTCGCGAAGGGACATGAGCAGCGAGGAGACATGAGGAGACCATGTTTGTCCTCACCACCCCAACCCTGACTGCGGAACTGAAAGTCTACATACTTCTGTAGCGTATGAATCCAAGAGGAACATATGGTGGACAAATACGTAGCAGCATGGTGGTTGTGTGGATAGTGAATGTTGGTAACAGTGCAGCTTGTACACTTCTCGAAAGACAGGGCCACAAAGGTGTTGCCTTCGCTGACTTCCAGGTACTCCACACGTGAGTTGGTAAAAATGGTGGCTCATGCTCAAAGCTTCCAAGGCACTTGCTTAGTGAAGAGATTGTATGTTTGTCACCGTAGCGTCGGTAGCGTTCTCGTTTCAACGAATTGAACCTGACCAGATCATTCTGAGTATGTCATACTGCTAGGTGATACTTTGGAGTCGTTGGCAGCTGATGTGTTCAGCTTCGATGCCTTCGACGATCGCCAACGGCTGTTGCAGGCGACCAATTGCGACTGAGTGTCAGTGTAAGTTAGAGAAATGAAATGTTGTATGAATGTTGTTTGTATATATTTAGATATAGAGAAGAACTAATGTATAGGTCTTAGATGGTTTTAGACTCTTAAACAAAAGATGCAAATATGCTCGGCCTAATGCAACGTATGGGGAAATGAGTTTGGCGCCGATTGGCATTCCTGCATTATGGTGATTTTCACTGAAAAGCACCGTCACGGTCTCGATGATCTCAGCAACGCTGATTCGTTGGATGACATCACAGAAATGAAGAGATGAAGAGACCTGATGTCTCTTTTTGGAGGACATCAAGTCTTAAGAAGTGCCACAGAAGCGGTTCTTTAAGGAAGCTCCCTCGGCCCTTCCTTGAAGCATCCTGACCTTCGCAGGTGTTGCGGCAGTGTGAGATCGCAAAAGGCAAGCTCGGCGAGGCGCAATCAAGATGTTGGTTGCCTGTGTTGCCAATGCACCCTGCACCTTCTGCACTTGCTCCGCACTTGCCATAGCCATTGGTGCAGCGTGTCGTAGCATGTTAAGTGTTTGCCTTGTCTCTTGCAGAGGCTGAGCTATTTGGTGAAAGCCGCGGCACTCGGAGCCTAAAGCTTTGCAGGAAAAACTGTGGGCTTCACTGATTGATTCAATTTCCTAATGGTCTCAAGAAATGTCCACCGCCCTTCGGGGGCTTGGTCGGAATGGGGAGTGTTTGCGTACGTTTCGTTGTGCCTTGGAGGGGCATAACTGCAGGTTTTGTCATTCATAGGAGAAAGCAGCAGAAGGCATGCAGCCAACACAAAGTTATGTAGGTCATCCAAGAATCTAGCAGAAGAAGGCCTGCACGTCAGCTAGTTCACCTTTGCACGTTTCAAGCTGTAGTCAATTCTGTGTGTGTGTGCCCCTTGGAATCACAGGGAACCTTTCGGTTTGGAGCAGGGGAGCGGTGGGCATTCTTGAAGTCACCGCTCAACGAAGACACTTCAAGTTTGCTGTGATATGCAATCTGGACGCAGATTGCACGTACCTGCGAGAAGATGATCACCACTCATTTCCCTTTGGGCCCCTTTGTAGCTAGAACAAGAATTCTGGCCATCGCACCTGTTTGCATTGGCCGTCACGCATTTTGAGCTTGGAGGTGAGGGCAGTCATTTGGTGCTTCGTTTACCTGAACCCTTAGGTTTTTCACTTAGGCTGGCGTGTGCCACCGCATTCACATCAGTACGCATAATCATAAGTGTGTCTCTCCTAGTGAGAGCCCAGGGTGACCTGGCCCCTGTGGACCCGTCGAACGGGTGTTTGTCGAACGTATCCCCTGCCCGGATACAAAGCAGCTCGCAGCGAGCGTAGGTGGCCTAGGCCGAGAGACCTCAGATTTTGTCGATTTTCTGAACTCCGAGCTGGCTCATGCCTTTACGTGACCGTAGCGGTCAAAGCTGCCAGCCATTTTGGCACGGCGTACGTGGCCGCAGCGGCCGAAGCTTGTTCAAGACTCGTTGGAGTCTGTCGGGACCTTTGTCCCCTTCCTCCCCCTACCCTCCCCTTCTTCTCTCTTTGCCTTTTTGGGGTATTCCTGAATGTAACACTCAGGTGTACCCCTCGCCTTGGTGTGTCCCTGGGCGCTTGCGCGTAGCTGGGAACACCTGTTTTCGTCCTTTCTTTTTCCTTTTCTCCTTTCCCTCTCTCTCTCTCTCTCGCTCTCTCTCTCTCTCTCTCTCCCTCTCTCTCTCTTTCTCTCTTTCTCTCTTTTTCTTTTTTCTTTCTCCCTCTTCCTTCTTTTTGGGTGTCCCTGGATGCGTTCGTCATAGCTGGGAACCCTTCTCTTCTTCTCTTGGTGTGTCCTTGGACGCTTGTGTCGTAGATGGGAACACCTTCTTTTCCTTTCCTTTCTTCTTTTTCTTTCTTCTCTTCTCTCCCTGCCCCTCCCTCCTGTCGGGGCCTTAGAGTGGGAAGCTACTAGGAGCTGCTGGCCTTACTACTAGGTGCAAGGACGCTACTAGGGATGAGATTCACCGTTTCTCGAAGAGAACCCCTCTTTTCCGGGAGGCGTGTGCGTGTGTCTGTGCCCCTTGGAATCACAGGGAACCTTTCGGTTTGGAGCAGGGGAGCGGTGGGCATTCTTGAAGTCACCGCTCAACGAAGACACTTCAAGTTTGCTGTGATATGCAATCTGGACGCAGATTGCACGTACCTGCGAGAAGATGATCACCACTCATTTCCCTTTGGGCCCCTTTGTAGCTAGAACAAGAATTCTGGCCATCGCACCTGTTTGCATTGGCAGTCACGCATTTTGAGCTTGGAGGTGAGGGCAGTCATTTGGTGCTTCGTTTACCTGAACCCTTAGGTTTTTCACTTAGGCTGGCGTGTGCCACCGCATTCACATCAGTACGCATAATCATAAGTGTGTGTAGTCAGCTTTCGTTTGTGAGAAAGACGCTTCACAAACCTTCCTCCCTGAACGTCACTGCTGTTTTTCCTCACGCGGCTTTGAGCGTGTTCAAGCACAAGGGTTTGGAACGGTACTTGTACCTCATGAAGTTAGTTCCGCGATCAAATCCTGATCGTTACAATGAATTGCTTTTTGACACGCTTTTGGCCAAAGTCGTAGAATGGCCACACAAAGCTCAGGACGTCCCTCCGTAGGGTGACCCAACCATCCGTGATTATGTCACCATATCTTATTATCATGTGTGTTTTTATCTTTCTCTTGCTCCTTTGCAAAGCCTTTGCATGTCAAATCCTGTCATTCTGCTAGGTCTGCAACTAGGGTTTGGTGGTGCTCAGGAAATCAATCGCTAGCTAGAAGCTACAATGGACCAATGGAGACAAGTCGCGCCAAATTTTGGGTAGAGATGGGCTATGTGACACGCAATCCCATCGATGATATCAAGTACCTTTGTCCACCCGCCTTCTGTCTTTGTTCAGGCAATAGCATTTGCAGAGGTTGAGGTTGCTCTTTGCTTAGTTGTTTTATCCTCGATGTTCAGCTCTCTGGAAACTCGTTCAGGTTACCCCTCGACTTTGTACCTCATTCAGACCTTCTCGACTATTGCACTGAAGATGTATTTGGCTATCTCACACAACATCTTTTCTGTCGTTTGCTCTTTGATTACTTTACCATTGTCAATTTCATGCTTTTTGGCCAGCTGGCCAGCAAGAATTTTTTAAGAATGATCTTGAAGTTCCTTTTGCTTGCGCTGCTGATTTCATGTTGAAACTACGTGTCGTTTGTTGCAGTTTGGGCACAGTAAGGGTTGCTGGTGTGTGTGTGCGCCCCTTGTAGTCACAGGGATCCTGTCGGATTGTACCATTTTCTTGTTTTTCAGCAGGGGGGTGCAGAGCACAGTGGAGACTGCGCCCAACGAAGCTATCCACTTGTGCTGGAAGCAGAGCCTGATCAGCTCTGTGTACCTGCTTGAATTTTAAGATTTTGATAAAGAGCTAATGCATTGGCAGACACGAGCGGCCCGCCGTCATCCTGTTCGACCCGTGATCCTCGTTTGATTTCTTCCGCTTTGGGCCACTTCTCCGTTTCAGGACCCCGAGTTTCCAGTGGTTTCCTACTTGTACTCTTAGGAAATGGTACCCTGGGCTGGCGTGTGGCACCGCTGTCAAGTCAGTACGCATATCCATAAGTGTGTCTCTCCTAGTGAGAGTCCGGGCTGAGCCCGTAGAGTGCCTCCCGTGGACCCGTTGAACGGGTGTTTGTCGTTATCTCCCCTGCCCGGAGATGTAAGTGCCCAGAGCGGGCGAAGGTGGCCTATAGGCCTCATTTTTGGAATTCCAAGTTGGCTTATGCCTTTAAGTGACCGCAGCGGTCAGAGGTGGCCGCCCTCGGGCATGCCGTACGTGGTCGCAGCGACCGAAGTTTGTTCAAGGTTCATTGGAATCTGTTGGGGCCTTATAGTATTCCAGGCGATCCGCACATTCCCTCCTGCCATGTTTCCTTCTCCTGCCGGTCTTGCCCCAGTGGAAGGCATACCGATGAGGGGTCAAGCCATTCTACATCGTGAGATTTTTCACGTACACGCCTTATTGGACCTCACTACTTCCCTTCTTCGTACTCGACTTGCCATCCTTTCTCCTCTCTTTTTAGTCGGTGTTACATCGCCCCACCTTCAGGTACAAATTCGAGGACTTGATTCTGCCATTCAACAAGCGACTCAAGCCATACATATACTGCACCCAAGAGCTGCTGACCACCTTTGGCTTGATCCACGCTCTGAATTTTGACACTGCCCGATTAGCGGCTGAGCTACGTGGTACTATCACCTTCCGTGACCCTCGTCTTCCTTCGATTCGTCCCCCAGCTTCAGGATCTCATTCGGCGAGGGGCTCGACTACTACCACCATCACCCCGGATCATGATGACACACTGACGACGAGGACGCCCTCTACTACACGACCTTCACGCGGTTTCGTCGTTGCCACTTCGACTCGACCTCTCTGAGATCAGAGCCACTATGACCCCCCCCTCACGCTCCCGTCCTCGCTTGAACCCGCGGGATACCTAGTTCCACCCCCTACTTCGATTGGACCGCCTTTTAGAACTCTTTTTCACTTTATTGATTCAAGTTATTGATGCTATTGAAGTTGATCTCACCCTCATTCTGTTCTCCCCTTGGCTCTAGCTCGCTCATCACGGTTTATTCTCTATATAGGCTTTCCTCCTCCCTCGCTCGCCGTCCATTCGCAGTCGCCGCCATGTCTTCTTCGACTTCGACACCTATGAATCCACCAACCCATACATCACCTTCTCCGGCAGGACTCGCACCCATTGAAGGATTACCTATTGCAGCTCAAGCCGTACTACATCGTGAACTTTGTCACATACACTCGTCCTTACAGCTGATTCTCACTATTCTACGAGGACCCTGGGACACTTTAGCCCTCCCCTCGCGGACACCATCACCTGTCCTCTTCTTCTTGCTCACCTTCGGGGACTGGACGCCAGCATCGACGATCAGACCAAACGAGCCACCTGCACCACTCTCGCCTACACGGAACAACTTCTC